ATAGGAATCTACCTCCTTTTGATCCCAATATCCTCTAACCCATTAGGCTTCAAATTGTGGCCTGAAGTTGTGCACTCTGTCTTCTGCTTAGTGACCACATTCCCTGTATAGGACCCGGGAGGTGGAGGGCAAAGTAAGTTAGACATTGTGTTTAGCAATAAGGTACTACGAGGCCTCTTTCATTAGTAGGTTCAAGCAAAAGTATGTAACACTGTGACCTGAAAGTGGTTTTCAGAGTCATAAACCCTCCAACTTCCTTGTGTCTTGGAACCTCACTGATCACTTCCTCATTAGAATAATTCTCCTATACCTTAGTTTCCACATGCAAAAATAAGTTTTGTTTTTGGCAGGTAAATGGAGGCTTCAAGAAATACCTGGAGACCGAAGCTGTGGGGAAGTTCAGATTTTATTTACCTACAGACAGGCAGGCTGACATTGGAGTGATACAAACAGCTCTCTAGAGGGGAGGATTAACTATATACAGTTTAAAGTTGGGAGGAGGGGTCACAGTGTCAAAAAATCTGAATGAAATGTTTGAAGTCACAATTACAGAGACAATCAGCCCAGGTGTGTAGCTAGAACTGATGCTGAGATGATTTCCACTCCAGTCCTAAGTTCCTCGATATCATTTGATTCTTATTTGCAGAGGAAAAAAAGCCTTTGTCAGTGATGGGGAGTGTACTATTAGTGGTGGGCAGCCCAGGCCTCTCTCAGGTCACTCCCAGGCCCAGACACAGCCCTTTGTCCGCCCTTCTTGTCTTATGTAAGCAAACAATAAAGAACCTGTGCTTTTTAAATGTGGCTGTGTCCTAAATTTGCAGACTTCACCTAGTCCTCACACAGTGCCATTCCAATCATGCTGATCTGTCACTATGACGTCAGGTATGTACTGTGCATATTGCTGGTTTACTCTTGAAAAATGTGGACAGGGTCATCTTAACAATCACAGTTGTTCCCACTTTGTAGTCTGATAGTATCTTAAACCCAATGGATGTAACTGCATCTCAAATTTCCTTCCAAATGTGTGCACCATCATTATGATTTAGATCTAAAACATTGCGTCCTGCCCAGTCTCCTGATGTAAAAACTTTCATCCAGTTCTCAGGTTCTTGTTAGGTTCTTGTTCCCCACAGCAAGCAATGTGGAATGACCAAGTGTATATTGAAAAAGAAAAAATGAAGGGCAGAGCTTCCCACTTGTTGTGGACGGGAGGCATCAAGTGGTTGCCATAGATGTTTAAATCCAGAGACTTTTCATACCATTTCTAACTCCTACATACCTAACAGCAACCAGGGATGCTCCTGTTGGAAAAAATAGACCTTTGAATCCTGACTGCAAGCTGCTGCATTTGCATTTCACTTCCTCCAAGATCTCCACCATTTTTTAGAGACCCTTGTTTGTCCTTGCATTCCTTTAGGCCCTGATAGTCTGCTTAATTTGGAGGGCCTCTTGTATGCTAACTCCTGTAAACCTGGATTTACCTTGCTTTAGGCTCATAATTCATGACCTGTGGTCTTATCTGCCTAACTTCCCCTCCCTCAGAGGTAGGGCTTTTGAAGTTAGCTGCTTCCTAAGAGCACTATACTTATCAGTGGATTAATCCATTGGGGAGTTCATAACTGAATGCGCTACTAGGAGGATGGCAGGGGCTGGAAGGATGAATGTGCCCTGTCCTCCCTTTTCTCTCTGGCTGCCATAAGGTGAAAGAACAGACACCTTCTATCACTCTGTTTTGGTCTTGCAGCCGGCCAGCCACAGCCTGAACCCACCGAAACTGTGACCCAAGTAAGTCATAGGTATCAGCACTTTTGTCCCAGCACCAGGGGGTGTGAGTCATACAGCTATCATTAACCCAAGGTGGAAACATTCTTAATCTCTTTCTTTTACCCTGCTAGCATCTTTTTAGTCATTAAACACTGCCTAGTATAATTTTTTAATCTTTAGAGAAACCTCTTCTCTAATTTTACTAAACATTATATGTTATTTAAAGATTGCATTATTTTAGTGTTGAATTTTCACTAAAGTTATTTCTCTGCCTGTTTCTCCAATCCTACATCACTCTTTAAATTATCACTAATTTATTTTCTATAAACTAACCTTATTTAAAAAAAAAAAAAAAAAAAAAAAAAACCTAACCTTGGGGGGTCTTTCACATATTTCACATTATATCTTATCTTATTTCAGGCTCCATTTTAAAATCTAATATCTACTTTATGGTATATGACCTTATACCAACGACTGTTTTTCAACTACCCTAGGTGTGATCAGGTGAAACTAATCGCTGTAACATGTTTTTTGTTAGAAAGTCATTTTTGTCTTATAGTCATTCTCAAGGTAGTGTACTAGGGACCTAATGAGGGCCTGAATCTGGGCCTGAATTATCTGGATTTGTTCACTTGCCTGCTGTAAAGAGCAGAAGAAAAGCCTAAATAGGAAAATAAATTTATCCACAATTTGGCCAAGGAAAGAAAGTAACACTTACTTTACCATATAGAAGCAATTTTTTTTTCTTTTCTTTTTCTTTTGTCTTAATGTATTTGGTACAGGGTCTATAGGATCTACAGGATCTTACTACATTGATCGGACTCAGTGATCTGCCTGTGTTCAGCCTCCCAAGAGCTGAGATCACAGGCACATACCACCACGCCCCCCTGGAGGGGCCAGTACAGCAGCCCCAGGATTGAACCCTGCTGCCTAAGCAGGCACTTTAGTCCTCTGAGCTATTAGGCCAGCCCTAAAAGCAAATCTTCAATTTGTAGTATGACCGTAATGGCTTATACAACATGTTGATATTTTCTAAATACAGACAGTACTTTTTCCAGACCACAATAGAATTAAAGTGAAAATAATTAGGATACCAACATTTGTGTGTGTGTGTGTGTGTGTGTGTGTGTGTGTTAGGACAAGGCATACAGAGTGTACAGGGTCTCACTGCATAGATCGGACTCGTAAGTGCCGAGATTACAGGCGCATGCCACCATGCCCAGTCTCAATCACAGTCTTAGTGCTCCCCAACAAATAAAAACTTTACAAAGTCTCAAAGGTCATGCAAAGATGAGAACATACTGTACACCAAGTAAGATTTCAACAAACTTGAGAAAATCAAAGAAACAAATGTAAACTGATTTTGCAAGACACAGGATGTGTGTAAAGAGGAGTAAGTCACATGATCTAATATGTTCCATATTCCGAGGAGAATGGGCATTTCGTCGTGTCCAATAATGATGATTAAACCAGTAAAACTGAAATGTATAGAGGGTGAAGATCTCCATACCAAAGCCAGTGAACTCATCTTCAGCCCTGCCCGGTGGGAACCAGCCCAGGAAAGTGATGCAAGATTGCTTCTATGGAAAAAGGAACAGCAAAGTCTTTGAATTAAACACACACACACACACACACACACACACACACACACACACACACTATTCAGTCAGGAAGGAGAGGTTGCAAAATAGTTTTGACAACTGAAAATGAAACTACAGGATTTCCACAGTCTTCCTACTTTTCTGAAACAGTCTACTGGGAAGCTAAAACCTCAAGCAAAAGTTAACAGTCAGGCAGGTACCAACTAAAAGCATGATTATTTTTCATTTCTGAAAGCTTCATAAAATCCATGTGAGGTGGATTCCATGTTCACACTCATGTAAAGATTAAAAAAGTAAATAAGACTTACAGAGATCC